AATATACTTCACCATCAACACATTTTTAACTAGAAAACATTTCTTTAAAAAAAAGTTATTTTTCAATGGCAATTATTTTATAAAATAAAGTCTTTAATGGTATAGAATAGAGATGTGGACATTACTTGTACATTAGCCTGTTTAGTATTTTGTTGCATAGTTTTTTTTTAAACCTTAGTATTGCAAACATCTTTAGATCGGTCTAATTATGTCCTTTTATATTTCCTCATATAAACTGATTTTCTATTTTGCTGAACTCTAGATAAAGCTGCTCTGATCCACGTGTTTGTTTTGTTTCACTGAGCAATCTAAGACCGAATGTCTGCCCTAACCCCTCTAACCTCAATCACTATATAGAGCAGAGACTGTATAGTGGACTGTACAGTACACTCGGTTAACTGACCGTTTAGACATGTGATCACTATTTTTTGCTCCATGTTGCTCACATGACTCTGGTACCTCACATGGTGCCTGCGCCATCTTTGTTCTTTCTCACTCCCAAATACCACAATGCTTTGCAAGGAGAATTCTTGCAAAGCATTCTGGTATATATCTGCTTATTTAGTGACCATAAATGTATACTACTTTTCAAGATGCACTCAGGGAAATTTTGAGTCCACTACTTTTTTTTTCCCCAATAGACATTCCTACACTCAAATAAAATGGCATAACCCCTGTACAGTGCTATATATATTGGTCGTGTCACACATTCAGGCACAACCTGTGATGGAAAATCTTTTAGCTAGGACTTTAGCAAACCTATATAGTTTCAGTTTGATGTCACATGACAAAGGAGGGTCTTTGGTAATTTAAAGAAAATATATGTGCAGTTTTTTTAGTTATATTTCTCTCTAGATGAAAATCTACAGCTGGTCTGGATTTTATTTTGTGTCCAGGTTTAACAAGTTTATATGTTGTTGCTGTATTTCAATGTTAGGTGGTTCTAACACTGAGATTCACATTGACCCACATGCAAAATCACAGAGAGAACCAGTGAGTTTTAACATTTTATGTACAAAGCAGCAAGAAGCAGAGAACTTGAGGAAGTCAGTTGAACTTTCTGGTTGGTCTGAAGGAAAAAGCAGACTGATCAGAAAGGAGTTGGTTGATGAAAACTTATGACTGATTGATTTGGTTACTTGTGAGATGAAGGGGAGGTAGCATGGATCTGTAGGGGAATAACCAAACGATACAGATGATCCTTCACCTCCTTATATGCATGGTAGTCATCTTGACTGAGAAATCTTCTAAGGGGTGCAGCAACACGGGTCGGCCCAGTCACTAGCAAAGATTATCTCTGTGACAGGAAGCTCGCTCAAACCAGAAAAACCCCATAGACCATAACATCTGTTCCCTAAAGAATAAACAGGTTAGGTTTCACAAAAAAGATAACTTGCTAAACAATATTGTCATGTGCAAACCTGATTCTTTGATAAAATGTGAAATTGCTAGGTTGAAGGTACTCTCAATGCCAAGGTAAATTTAAGGTACTCTCATTCGTGCAAATTACTGGCACATCTTCTGTAAACCCGTTATCTTTTCACAATGCTCTATTATTTTTTTTCCTGAAATCCAATCTTTTTGGCATAGTCTTTAATACTACGAATTAAATAAGACCTGCCATAAAATTCAGGTCTCAATGTTTCAGGACATCAAAGTAACCCACATTTGCCAAAGAAGACGTCACAGGAGCACACTGTGGTTGTCACCACGCCTCTCAAAAATGTGCCACGATGACGAAAGGGGATGCTGGGCGAGATTTCCCTTGACTTTTTTTTTAAAAACGAAACTGTAAATGACTTCTGGCTAGCAATTAGCAAGGATCTTCTCTTGAATAATCTTGTGATATCCTGAAGATTGTCAATTACTGTACATCTCCCTTCGCTGCTTTGCAGGATACATCAAACATTGGCCAAAATCCCTCCTGCAGCATGTGCAAACATGGTGAAAAATGACACATCTTTAATTTCAAACAAATTCCACTGTACCGAATATTAACATTGATTTTCTCAGGTGTTCAAATCGCTATTTGTAGCTGTATCATAGAAATAAATACTGTATTTTCCAAACTAAAGAGCGCAACACACCGACATTTTTTTTTTTTAACCTAAGCCGCTGTTATCTACCGAGATGTCTCCCACCAAACCTGTAGGGGGAGCTCTACTTAAAGCTCCTAGAGTAGGGACAATGAAAATGCTGGCTCCCATTAGCCTGGTGGTTTGCAGCAGTAAGAGCTTCTTCTGAAAAACAGGGCCTTTTCTGCTCTTTATTTTAGCTCTGCAGAAGTTGAGCCCCGTCTCTTCATTGGTTTGGCAGCTTTAATGTTTGAAATAAAATGTCAAAATATGTGAATTTGGGACATTTGTTTTGCGTCATGCCTTGCTGCAAGAATGTTCTTGTGCTAAATGAAAATTAGCTCCTTGTTCGTTCTTCTCCAACTTTGACTTTCCTGTCTGGTGGTTAGGAAAAATCCACAGAATAGCTGCACCTTCTTATAAGCCCTGTGGGGGAGTACAACTTTGTCTCTACTGTCTTTGGTCTTGGCCATGTTAATAGTAGATTCTTACTGATTATATGGGGTGGACAGGTGCTTTCATGCAGCTAACAACCTCAAACAAGTGCATCTAATTACTGATAATAAATGGGGTGAAGGTGGACATTTTGGCTATGCTCACACAGCAGCCTGAAGTGACCCAAATCCAATTTTTTGCCCATATGCGACCTAGATCTGATCTTCTCCTGACAGTCTAAACAACTCAGATCTGATTTTTTTTCAATGCGACCCAGGCCTACTTGTCTATGTGGTCCTGACTCTGATCCATATCTGATCTTTTCAAATGCAAGCTGTGTCTGAACAGCCAGGTCGCATCCATCCGACCTAAATGTCATTAATACCCGACAGTGGTCACTCTTCTACTTCTTGCTACGCAGACGTGGCAAGAAAAACAAAAACCATGGTGGACAATAATGCAGAGAGCAGTATTTATGTTTAACCTCTGAACATCCACCTCATTTTGGGTAATCCTCGCCTATTTTGCATACCCAAATTGATAAGCAAATAACTTAGGAACTGTAAGTCCAAATTACATGTGCAATACATTATTTGAAAGCTAACACCCTCCATTTTCCTAAATATAAATTAAAATTGGGTGATTAGAACACAGATCAACCTGCAGCAGTTTAAACATGACTTAAAGTTTTTTTTTATTCTCGGAATGATAGGTAGTTTTTGAACAGCAGTAATAAAGATATTCTTGAGAAAAGGCAGGTTTTATGTATTATATTTCTTCTACAGTACATCATATCAACCACGCATGCAGACAATTTCAGACCTCTAGCTATAACAGTTCCAGAGCTGTGCGGATTTGAACTTTTAGTGTCAGCTTGGAGCTGCGTGCAATGGCTCCACCTTCTGGTAAACGTTTTACCGGTGGAATTTTGTTTTAAGAGGTTCACAATCTTGGAAAGATTGTGATTTTAAGGTTAGGAAAGATCACTAGATGTTCTCCAGCAATACCATCCATGCTTACTTCCTTAAAGACAGAGCACACTTGCTTGTGACATCATTGCATCCTCTACTGCGTATGAGGAAAAATGCAGTTCACAAAGGAGATCACATACAAGTCGCATATATTTGGAAATGTGAACAGCAACGCCAAAAAAAAATGTAATTGAGCATCAAGGCCTGCAGTGTGAACGTAGCCTTTGAAGGCAGACTAACAGGTCTTTGAGGGTCAGAATTCTAGCTGATAGACAGGTGTTCTAATAGTTATTTGCAGCTGTATCTGTGTCATACAAATAAACAGTTTAAAAAATTCATACATTGTGATTTCTGGATTTTTTTGTTTTTTTTAGATTATGTCTCTCACAGTGTACATGCACCTACAATGACAATTTCAGACCCCTCCATGATTTCTAAGCGGGAGAACTTGCAAAATAGCAGGCCGTTCAAATACTTTTTTTTCTCACTGTAGTTTTTTGTGTGAAACCATTTACAATGACCATTTTGGAGAATCTTTCAACAATTGTGAGTATAATTGTGAAACCATGGGACGAGAACAAACCCACAATAAAAATAGGGATAGCGCTGGCAATAAAAACTAAATAAAGACAGGATCCATGAAGATTAGTTTTTTCTTGAGACCAGAATTACAACCAGCCCACCACTTGAGAAAATTGTAACACATTACTTGACACTGTACTTGGTATTCTTAAAGGATCAGGTAAGTTTGCAATTGACCCCTCCCTCCATGGAAACAAACTCTCTCCTCTGACGGGAGGCTGCAGTCCATCCGACCAGACCCTCCCACCCCGAAAACAGCATCTCCCCTTCTGCATTAGTTTCATTAACAAGACCTGGGTCCCTTAGGCTTTCTCCGTTTACCAATAAAGGAGAAAATAAATTGAATAATAACAATTGTAACTGCATACTTTGTAATCTTATCTGATTTTAGTTTTTATTTTCAATGTCTGCCACTGTACTCTTGCAATTGTTTCTTCCAAATTATAGTTCGACATATCATTTTTTTTCAACTCTTTGTTTTTCTGCTTGCAGCACCTTATCACCATAGCAAGTTGTTCTCATGTGTGGACACTACGTGACAATAAATATCTTTCTGATTCTAATCATGATCCCATGAGTATGAAATGCTGTAAGGCTACAGTATACACAGCAATGGAGCTAAAAGCACTGCATCCAAAGCTAGAAGCTAAATATACAGTAATCTCACAGTTAAGGCATTGCCAGGCTGCTAATCATGAAAACATACAAACAACATATTGGATACATTTGAATAAGAAAAAAACATAGCCAAATACATATTTCATTCATCCTATTTTTGCATTTGGCAAAATGATGTAAAGATTTTGTGAAACTTCATGACTAATGTGAAGGTACTGAGTGGGAGCACAGACAATAGGCTGCTCTGTCCTGTGGTCTCACTCAACAATCTGACTGTGTTGTAGCTAGAGATTGCCTCACAGCCCCATTCACTGACAGGACTACCACTGTGACATGCTCAGTGCATCTGCAAGCCTCCCTCCACTTCATATTCTGAGGTCTGGCCTCTGCCAAGAAATACGTGACAGCATGGTCAGAGAAACTCATAAACAACACAGTGCTTTGTTCTTTCTGTAAATGTGTACTGTTTCATTTGAGTCTTTTTTCTAAGTTTGGTGATTAAAAATGCATCTATTTTTTCTACAGAGTCGTGGGCAAAGACTGCCATTCCCACAGATCATAGGACGGCTCCCAGTACCGCTACCACTCCCACTGGTAGGACACTTGTTTTGGACTGTCTCTATCAACTGCACCCTATACAATTGGTAGGAAACTTAATGAAGATTAAAATAGAGGGTTCAAAACCTGAGCCACAGTAATAAAGAGGCTGAAATCTTCCAGCCATTTCCTAACTGATTACAATCATATCATGTAAGACCTAATCTACCAGTGTTTTCTATTGTCTATTTAAATTTTAAGGATCTGTGATAAAAGAAACAACAAATACATCCTCATTGTCAAGAATTTATATCTATACTCCAGGGAAACAACAAGTCCTAAACCAATGTTTAAAAGTTCATAAGCGGGGAGTGGCAGTCTAGAGATTAGGGCATAGAGCTTGGAATCCTGAGATTGTGAGTTCGAAACCCAGTCCTACAGACTGCCACTCTGGGTCTCTGAACATGGCCCTTAACCCCAGATTGCTCCCTGGGCATCCCACAATAGCTACCCACTGCTCCCCAAGGAGATGAGTTAAATGCAGAGGTAATATACTCCAATGTGAGATCAATAAATTTCAATTAGGATTATTATGATAAGACATACATGTATATGGAGGACCAACTTTGCCATATTTAAAAATACAGAAATAAATAAATGCTCAATAAATAAATAAGCATACAATGAATTGCCCCCCAAAATACAATAAAGAAAGAAATGAAGGTAGAAATTGAATAATACAGTGAGACATAAATGTATTTATCTCTTTTAATTAGCTTCTTTATTTGTCTTTGTAATAATTTCCATGTGATAATATTTTGTCTGTTCTATTCTTCCTTTGTATTTATTCACCATCTTTATTTCTGCCTGTTGTTTTTACATTTCTCTATGCATTTCTGCCTCAGTATGCAAATGAAAAAGGGGTGTGTCTTAGATTTGGGGGCAATTAATTGTATGCTTATTTCTTAAGCATTTATTTATTTATTTTTAAATATATTAGTGTTGGTCCTCAATACATGTAGATATATATGTAATTCTGCACTCTTTCTTGTCAGTATAAGATTTTTACCATTCATAAACTTCTTCAAATTTTAGTGGGATTTCATTTAAAATGCTGAAAAATAAAAGCTAAAATAATAGTTCTTGATCTCAGTGTCACAAATTCAACCTGAACCATGTGCCATGAGGTTGTATATTTTTGTCCCATTTACTTTAATATTGGGAATCAAATCTACTGAGTCAAAAGCTATAACAAAAAGTTTGCTTTAAAGGATCTATTTCAACTTAAATCCTTCTTCCCATTTGTTACCAGCTTAGAAAGTAGAGTTATTTTGTTTCCCAAAAAGTTATCAACAGGAGCATATGACTGATGCATGTGCCAAAAAAGGCAAAATACAAATACAAAGATTTTTACTTACGTTTATTTAACATAAAAAAAAAAATATTTTTAAATATATAAAAAAGATAAACAGGCATTTAGGTCTTGAGAAATACCTCTATTGCAACTGTCCTGTTAATTTTGTTTTTCTGTTTTTTTAAGATTTAACTGTTCTCTCTATATATAAGCAACCGGGTTTGTGTTAATTCTAAATACTAATTAGATTTTTTTTTGTGTGTGTGTGTGTGTGTGTGTGTGTGTGTGTGTGTGTGTGTGTGTGTGTGTGTGTGTGTGTGTGTGTGTGTGTGTGTGTGTGTGTGTGTAGTAGCTGAAAGCACAGCAACCACAGTTGCTAACTCCACCCCGGGAAATTTCTTAGAGCAAACCACAAACTGGCACAGCACCAAGACCAATTCAGTCAACTCCACTGCATCAGAAATAAGAACAACAGGTAGTATGGCATGGGCTGTGGCATTTTTGAAATACAAACCACGCTCAGAATGTCTGCATTACTGATTTTTTGTTGTAATTCTATTTAGCTTTCACTGAGAAGCCGACAAAGCCTCAAACCAATCCTGCATCTACTCCAGGTAACAACTTATTTAATCTTTTCAGTAAAAAGTTTAAACAGCAACAAGAGCCACTGAGTTTAATCAAAAACTGAATTATGCACTAAAAAGAATTTAGGACCTTATACAAAAAATAAAATTAAAATGTATTTTTTTAAATGATAATTTACCTGTGCATATATACATGTTTCTTTTCCCTAATGTGTTTTTTTAGTTACTCACTGGCCAGAATAATGTACTATAGTAACAATTCTAACAGGGTGAGCATTAAAATGTTTCTTTAGATGTTTTTTGTAGATCTTGCTTCGGTAAAATATTCAATATTTATTTGGAAAATTAGACATAGAGAAGCATCTGGGCTCTAATTTTGAATGATTATTTTGTGATGTTGCAAATATCAGGTATATATGATAATGATCAGATTTTTTAAATTCTTTTCACCCCCTACAGCGTCATCTACCAGAATGCCACAAAACCCTAAAGCTGTTGTCTGGGGTAACTAGAATTCCTTTCTACATGATAGTTACCCTTACCTGCCATGGCCATGTAATCATCTGATCCTTTGACTTAAGGACGCTATTACAATACCCTGTCGTCTAAGTAAAACCCACAGATGGCATGGCCGAATAGAGCATGTTACGGCACAGTGAGCTGTGAACTTTTAAACCCTGCGGTTCCGTCATACAGTTTGAGCTGTAGCTGGGTGCAGCAATTGAAAATATCGCACAGTGTATGCATGGCTTAAAGATTAATACTTGATTGTACCTTCTGAAAAAGCAGATGAGACACTTGTGCCCTCAGAGTGTGCCAGCTTACTGTAGATAAGATTTTGATAGACCGAACAGAATGTCACACAACCAAGTAGATCTGTTGTGACATTGCTGACAGTTGCTCCCTATCTTTTAAGCAGTACAACCAAATCCAAATGCCTTTTTCTTTATTTTTTGGTGTCATATAGATCCAAAGTGGGACAAACCATTCACCTATGGTAAGAAACTAATTGTTTGTTCTTTTTGGTATTTTTTTCTAAAAGTACTTGTAAATTTGTATGAATGGGACTTTGAAATATTTACCTCACCTCTTTAGACTATGAATCTCTGCGATATGCTGGCTTAATAATTGCTGGTGTACTTTTCGTTATGGGGATTATGATCATTGGCTGTAAGTTTTTATTTTTTTCTCTTCAATAATCTCTACTGACAGTAATAAAGATTCTAAATACATTGTTTTTTCTTTAACTACAGGTGGCAAGGTCTGTCGGCTGCCCAAGTGTCACAAGAAGTCATCAAAGTCAGTATTTACATGCAGAACCTTTACTTAGAGTTAAATTAAACACATCTGCAACTATGAAAGTCTTTGTAAAAGTAAAACTGTTAGAAAGGAGCAGCCAAGTATTACCCTAAGCATGAGTTGCTAAAAGATTTCTAACTATGAACAAAGCCTTATATTCACTGAAAAAGAGTGAAGCAAAAAGTTCTCGTACTTGTCATCTTCCAATTAGGCAGCATCAGATTGCGGGGACAGCAGTCACAGCAGAGACTCCCAGACTTTCCTCTCCCCAGACACCTTCCCCAGCTCTGCAGGGGGAGGCCAGAGGTGCTCCAGGGCACCCGAGAGACCTAGTCCCTCCAGTGTGTCCTGGTTCGTCTCCTGGGCTCCCACCTGGTGGGATGTGCCTGGAACCCCTCTTGAGGGAGGTGTCCAAGGATAATCAGAACCACCTCAGCTGACTCCTCTCAATGTAGAGGAGAAGTTGCACTACTCTGATCCTCTCTGGATGACCTTCTCCATAAGATAGAGAAGCCACCCTGTGGAGAAAGCTAATTTCAGCCACCTGTATTTGGGATATTGTTCTTTCAGTCATGATCCAGATTTCATGAATATGTGTGAGGATATGAACGTAGACCAACCAATAGAGCTAGCTTTGCATTTCAGCTCAGCTCCCTCTTCACCACAAAAGACTGGTGAAGTGTCCCCATTACAGTAGCAGCTGCACCGATTCATCTAATGATCTCCCACTCCATTCTTTCCTTACTCGTAAATAGGACCTTAAGATAATGATTCCATTCAAGGCAGGAATTGTCCTCTAACCTGAAGTCGGCAATGAACCTGCTTCCGGTTGAGAACAAAGCATGTGAACGAAGCAGAGTGTGGAGCCAGTGGTGTAGCTCTGGTGATATAAAAATTTTGGATTATAAATTTTGTAAATAACATTTACTTGATTTTAGTGTGACATGTTTCAACATGTTTGACCACATGACCTCATGTCCCAGCAGCACCGAGTGTGACGAGTAGGTGGATATGCCTGCACTGTTGCAGATGGAAGTGGTTGCGATTACAGCCAATGCAGAATACATGATAAACACTGACTTCACTGGCCCAAGTTTGCATTTGAGATTCCCTATCCATCTGCTTCAGCTGGCAATAAAAGATGGCGAGATGAGGATTGCATATTGTGTGATCAAATGGATTGCATACATGCATTATACGCCATTATCTCATTTGCAGTGGGATGCGAAGTTAACTTTATTATTGTAGTCTCGTAAAAAAAATTGGCAACATGAATGGAGCGAGGTGTTATGTTTACAGCTGGGAAACAGTGCGATAATTTAACAGCCAGTTAAATAAGACAATACACATGTATGGGTCACATCATTAAATCAAACGCCATGTGTCCCAGGGCCCTGGCATAATTACATGATGGAAAAATGTTAGAAAAAGCCTTGGAGCGATTTCGCCGGAGCGGCAGGAAAATTAAGATGAACGCGGAGCTTCCTGGTGCAACTTTGATCGTTAGAGCGAATGAGCGAACATCCTCCTGAGGGGACTGGGAATTGTGCGGTTCTCCGCTCCATTCACATGCAATGGTTGAGAACCATTGCCTCAAACTTGGAGTAGCTGGTTCTCACCAAGCCTTTTTAACACTGCTGCAAACCACTCAAATCAGACCCCCCTGTTCATAAACGTTATAAAAAGGACAGATGACAAGGGGAGCTTGCTGTAGTCTAACATGCACTCGGAAAGGCCCGACTTGATACCAGCAATGCAAACCAAACACCTGTTCCACTTGTACAGAGACTGTCTGGCCCCTAGTAAATGGCCCTAGACTCCAGGCTCCTGGAGCACCCCTAAAAGGCACCAAAAGGGACAATGTTGAATGCTGTCTACAAAACATATGTGTATACCAGTTGATCATACTCCTATGAACCTTTGAGCACCAGAGGGTGTAGAGTTGGTCCAGTGTTCCATGGCCTGGGCAAACCCACACTGCTCCTCCTGAGGCCAAGGTTCAACAATCAGTCTCTCCTCAGTACCCTGGCATAGGCTTTCCCAATTAGGCTGAGAATGGTGATCCACTATAGTTGGAAAACACGCTTTGGTCCCCCTTACTCTGGAGGGGGAGGCACTTCCATTTACCCATCCTTGAGTAGCCATCTTAACATGGTGGGGGTGTTAGAACCAGGATGATCCCAGAGGCTTTCTTGTTGGGGGTTCAAATACATCTGATATGTTCTCCAAACATTAACAGTTTCTGAGTGACTGTTCAGACAAAGTAAAGTTCAAAAAGTCCTTAAGACGACAAGAAAAATCAGGGCACATTGCTTGGTATATGGAGGCGGAAACTGCACCCTGGATCTAGGACTGGGGTTAGGGTTTGTCAGCTAGTGTCTTTGGGTAAGGTTTCTTTTTTCGGAACCCGGCCAACCCAAGCTGTGATGTCTCAATCTCCCAGTGGGTGACCATCTGCAAGGGAACCATGATGGACCGTTGCCAAGAGCACTGGACTGCAGTCACAAGCAGGTCTTGGCAAACAGATCCACAGAAAAGAGTCAAAGAACATGATTAACCTCCTTATAACAAAAGAAAAACAGCAACATTTGTTCATACTCTTGTTCAAATCAGGCCAGTCTCAACAGTGGTTGCGACTAGCCTGATTTGGCCAGACACTTACAGCTCGGAACGCAAGACTTTACCATGAGTGACTCTCTACCAGAAATACTGATAATGCAGCAGCATTCATATGCTAGAAAAAAAAACAAGCTGGCAACTGCAACGGAGCAATGTTGTAATGAAACATTAGAACATAACAGAGAGCACACACTTTATTTCCTCAGATTGTTTTAGGCAAAACCATTACAAATTAAAACCGCGAGCGGTATTGACGGCCCTCGCAGCTCGCACCGCCTGGTATGTCGCGACCGCGGGAACCAAGCGACCGCCGGCTCGACGCTCCTTCCCAGCCTATTCTCCTGCTCTTCAGCCTATGCCTGCTGCTGCTTCCCCTCATCCTCTTCATCACCCTGTGCTGCTCCTCTTCATCCTCCTCTTTCTCCGCTCGGCCTATCGCGACCGCGGGAGGTGAGCGACCGCTGCCCCCTTGCTCCTTCCTAGCCAGCGGAAAAAGCGCCACGCTTCACCTCTGGACCAGCCGGAGACAACCACAGCTTTGGTCAGGAAGGGTTAAACTAGGGATAAAAGATAATATCTGGGGATGAATCTCATCTGTCAGATATTTGCTGTAGCAATCTCAGTTGGTGGGTCAAAAGTATATATTCAAAAGATGGAGAAACAGCACTGCCAAAACCCACGGTTAGCGGTATTACACCCTACTCAAAACAAAAAAATCATTAAAAATCCATAGTTTGCAATAAAATCCCCAAAAAAATCACAAATGTCAAGGAACACATCTTGCATGTCCTAGATTCTTTTTTAGATGATTTATTAAATAATTCAAAGAAAGAAAAATCTTTAAACGTGAATGCCTTATACTGCGGCAGTTGAAAATTATATCCTGGCATTATCTGTCCACTTGACCAACTATTAGGCAAGAACG